TTTTTTCTTTTCTTTGATACTTTCTCTTTTCCCCCCTTTCCTTTCCTTTCCTACCCCTCCCTCCCTCCATTTTCTTTTCTTTTCTTTCTTACTTACTCTCCCTCTTTCCTTTCCTTTCCTTTCCCTTCCTTCCTTCCTTCCTGCTTTTCCTTTCTTACTTTGCCTCTCTTCCTTTCCTTTCCTTTCCTTTCCTTTCCTTTCCTTTCCTTTCCTTTCCCTTCCCTTCCCTTTCCTTCCCTTCCCTTCCCACTTTCCTTTCCTTTCCTTCTTCAATCCCCTCTTCCTTCCATTGAAATAGCCTCTGAATATCAATCCTTTTCCGCCATCTGCTGGTGGCCCGTAGAGTTGCAGCCTTTGGATAGCCATAGTTGAAATATGAATATAGAAGGCTCATCCATGTTGAGATCACAGATACGATCCCCACAAGTTATCAGCGAAATGTAACAGGGCATTTAAACTCTGACTAAGAGTGGGGATAGGGCGAAGACTCAGTCGAGGAACCTGTGGCCCAGAAAATCAAATTGTTTCTCTAGGTAGTCTTCAACTTAGAACAGTTTGGTTAGTGACAGTTCAAAGTTGCAAAGGCAGTGAGGAAAGTGACTTATGACATTTTCCACACTTACAGCCATTGCAGTATCCTCATGGTCAGGTATTCAAAATTCAGACACTTGGCAACTGACTCATATTTATGACGGTTGCAATATCCTGTGGACAGGTGAACAATTTTTGAGACCTTTGGACAAGCAAAGTCAACGGGGAAGCCGGATTCACTTAACAACCATGTTACTAACTTAACAACCGCATCGATTCACTTCTCAACTCTGGAAAAGAAAGATCATAAAATGGGGGACAAAACTTAACAAATGTCTCACTTAACAACTGAAATTTTGGGCTCCGCTGTCGTCATATGTCAAGGACTATCTGTTTCACTGACCATATCTCAAAGATGTTATGGCTAGAATGTTGACCTAACAGGAAGTGCTAAATATTATTATGGTCAGATAGATATGTTAATCTAAAATTTTCTTTCTTTCTTTTTAATAAGTTTTTTATTCTTTATTTTTTTTACAAACATACCATTGGGTGAACGGTGTGGTACCGGAGTGCCTTATATTTTAGTACAAATAGAATAATATTCTTCATTTTTAATACAATTGACTATTTTATAAAGTTTTAATAATAGTACATATATTTTGTTGAATTATAATCTTTCCTTCTTTGATTATTCGATATTTTAGTACGTTATTTTTATACCAATCTACAAATTCTAAATGTCACTCCTCTTACTACAAATAAAATATTAATAATCATGTTTGCTGTGTTTGACAAACTTATATACCCTGTTTCCCCGAAAATAAGACATCCCCTGATAATAAGCCCAATCGGTCTTTTGAGCACATGCGCTAAAATAAGTACCTCCTGAAAATAAGCCCTCTCCAAAAATATTTAAATACATGTGCAGCTGGTCCCTGCCATTTCCTCTGGTTTCCTCCATGCGCCCCAAAATAATAAGATCTCCCCAAAAATGAGGCCAAGTGCTTATTTTGTGGTTCAAAAAAAAAATTAAGACAGGGTCTTATTTTCGGGGAAATATGGTAGTTCTAATAGTCGTACACAGATTTATATTTAATTGTAATCTTCCATTGTTTATCCCCTTTCTAATTTTTAGTCATGCCACTATTATCACATTTTACTACAAATACTACAAATAAAATAATATTCATCATATTTACGTTTGACAAGTTATATAATTCTAATACACATTTTTGTTAAATTATACTCATTATCTTGTTCAATATTTCCGTCTATTGTTTTTATGTCAGTCAAATTCCACATATCGTTCCTTTTACTACAAATAGAATGTTGGTAATCATATTTGTTATATTTAACCAACTTACATAGTTCTACTAATAATACACATATTTATTTTAAATTATAATCTTCGACTGTTTAATTATTCAATATTTCAATATATTGTTTTTATAGCCATCACCATATGGTTCAAACATTTTCAAAATTACCATCATTAAGATTCTAGCTTCCCTTCTTGTTACTAATTCACTTTGTAATGTAAAAATATATATTCCATTAATTCCCCTTTCTCTAACTTCCAACCCTCTTTTAACTTATCTCACTATTGTTTTTTTTTTAAAATGTTCCCTTTTTTAAAATCTAAGCTAAAATCTAAAATTTTCTAATGTCACTTATAATTTCCATTGTTTCTGCCTTTGTCTTGCTTTTAAATAAGCAAACATATATAACCCTGGTTTACCTTTGCTTAGGTGGGCTCAGTAAAGTATTAAAAGCTTTGCTCGGAATCCAGAATATAGTGTATTATTGCTTGAAGGCATTGTTGGAAGAAATATCCATCTGGTTCAGTTCCAAGCTGGGAGAAAGACACTGGAAACATGGAGGCTGGTTGGAAAGATGGTTTAATGATGAAGCAGAAGCACATGGGTTTTGGGCATCTGACCACAGGGAGATGAGAGTGGTGGGCAGGGATGAAATACTCCCGGTTTGGACTGGATCACCCGAACCGGTAGCGATGGAGGCGGATGGTTCAGAGAACCGGTAGCAAAAATCCCTGCCCGCCACTCCCAGCTGAGCTGCACAATTATCAGAGGCTTTTTCTTTTAATTTTTAAAAGCATTTTTTCTACAACCTCTTCGGCCGAAAAACTGCTTTTAAAAGTAAAAAAAAAAGCCTCTGATGATCGCGCGGCTCAGCTGGGATCGTCAAAGGGATCGTCAGCTGATGATCCCAGCTGAGTCGCCTGATCGGCAGAGACTTTTTTTCTTTTAAAAGCCTCTAACGATCCAAGCTGAGTTGCCTGATCGGCAGAGACTTTTTTTCTTTTAAAAGCCTCTGACGATCCAAGCTGAGTTGCCTGATTGGCAGAGGTTCTTTTTCTTTTAAATGTCTCTGACGATCCAAGCTGAGTTGCTTGATTGGCAGAGGTTTTTTTTCTTTTAAATATCTCTGATGATCCAAGCTGAGTTGCCTGATCGGCAGAGGCTTTTAAAAGAAAAAAAGCCTCTGCCGATCAGGCAACTCAGCTGGGATCGTCAGAGCCTTTTGAAAGCATTTTTTTACAACCTCTTCGCCGAAGAGGTTGTAGAAAAAATGGTTTTAAAAGAAAAAAAAAATTGGCCACGCCCACCCAGTCACATTACCCCCCAAACCACGCCCACAGAACTGGTAGTAACAAATTTTAGATTTCACCACTGGTGGCGGATATTTATACCTTCTCTTCAGCTTTGCACTTGAGCTTCCTGTTCCTGTGCAAGAACATATATTCTATTGGCTGTTGTCAGACTCCCCTGGTGCCATGTACAAATTCTAGAAGTTAGTCTGAGCTATGTTTGATTGAAGTTTGGGCTGATGCAATGAAGGGGCTTGATGGGCAATTCCTATTGTGGTTGAAGGCTAATCCTACCTTTGTTGGATCTTGGGTGATTGTATTTGCTTATGACTAGACCTAGCTATTTCTTTATCTCTTAACTGCTGACATCTGCTGAGGGCTATTAAGAAAGGTGGCGGCTACTTTCCAAGAGCACGTTTCTCCATTTCTCATCCAGGGAAATATAATATTCTGCCTTTTTACTATTTCTCAAAATATTTGGTTCTTCTAGGAGAGTGCTAACTTTCTACAGCATGTAAATAACATTTTGTGTATCTTTAAACCCCATATTTTGGACACGACACAATGGTTTCTCTTCCCTATCTAATTTACCTGACAAAATTACAAAAAGGCAAGGGTTTCATCGGGATATATTTATTTTCACCTAGGGAAAGAAATACAGTATTCCCTTAATATGTATCCTTAAACCTTCATGCCATTAGGAATTGTCCATTAAAATAATTGCTCAACTCATATGCATCTTCTAATTTAGTTGGAAGTGACGTGAAGAGTTTGGTAAGGATTGTATTATCACCTTCGATGGCAAAATTTAATTAGTCATTAATTTTATTGAATTAGTCAGTGGTTTTTAAGGGGTAGGAAAGTCACTCAACTCCCTATAAAGAATCACAATTGGTTCTTTCTAACGTTTATCTTGATAGTGGCCAGTTCTTTTTTTTTATTACTATTGAATACCCAAACAGAACAACTTAATTAAATCATATGGAAAATGTCTTGCTGAAAAATTAATTTAACCCCTCCACCAGGGGTGAAATCTAAATTTTTTTGCTACCAGTTCTGTGGGCGTGGCTTAATTAGTGGGCGTGGCTTGGTGGTAAGGTGACTGGGTGGGCGTGGCCAAGTCAATGTCACTTCTTTGCCCCTTTTTAACCTACAAAACACAACACAACACAATTGGCTCACCCACAATGTAAAACCAGCTGTGCTAGACCCAAAATGGCCCCTGCAACAAGCAGGAACCTCACACAGCCACAAAAAGCCCAAAAAACCAACTTTCACACTTTACACACACAAAATTCCACATACAGCTTTGTGAGATTTTGTGTGTTTGTGTAGTTAGAGTGAAACACTACAGAAACACACTAAATCTCAGAAAGCTGCACAAATTTTATTTTATTTTATTTTTATTTTTATATAAAAGCAGCTAAATTTAAAACTTCCTAAACTTTAAATGGCTAGGTCTAAAAAAAGAACAACTAAAAAAAAACCCCAATTAACTATTTTTTTAAAGCTCCCAAAGGGGAAAAAAACTTACTCAAAAAACAGGGGTCTCCAACCTTGGCAACTTTAAGACTTGTGGACTTCAACTCCCAGGATTCCTCAGCCAGCTTTGCTGGGAGTTGAAGTCCACAAGTCTAGGCAGGAAGGCAGGCAGGCAGATAGAGCTGCTCACCGATGAGCTTGATTGCAGGCAGGGAGATTCAGTTGCTTGCTGATGCAATGGTTTGCAGGTATTACAGCAAGAGAAGCAAGGCAGGCGTTGCGACCAGCAGCTAAGGTAAGCAAGCTGGAGGCTGGAGTGGGGCTGCCCTCCACCCATAAAATCCCCATCAAGTTTTAAGGCAAAAGACAAATTCAGTTGAGTTTGTTTATACTTTATTACCTACATAGATAATGTATTTCCTAATAGTTTACTTTTCAGTATACTAATTGAATTTGAACACTAATGTAACTGTTTGAAATGTTTGTGTAGCTTCATCCGATTATTCATTCATTCCTGTATATGAAAATGACTGCACATACACATCCAATCGGTATTTGCTTGTTCAAAATTCAATCTTGTTCTTTTTATTTCTTGTGTACTAAATGCTCTCTAGTGTTGAGCTCAGGCCTCCATATAATTATATAGATTTTGGGGGTGAAGATGCATCCCAATAAGCCAGCACCGGAAGACAGGATTGAGAAGATCTCCACAGCCACCATGTGTTTCCCTTTGGTGCTCAGGTAGGTGGGGACAAAAGTCAGCCAAACACTGCAGAAAACCAACATGCTGAAGGTGATGAACTTGGCTTCATTAAAACTGTCTGGCAACTTCCTGGCCAGGAAGGCCACAGTGAAGCTGAGAAGAGCCAAGAGGCCCATGTAGCTCAAGACACAATAAAACATGGTGATGGAGCCTTCATGACATTCGACTATGATTTCTCCATGGAGTGTCTCCATGTCCAAATCTGGAAATGGAGGAGAAGTACTCAGCCAAACAACACAAATACCTAGTTGAATGAAGGAACAGAACCAGATAATAGAATAGGCCAACTTTTGCCCCACCCATTTGTGAAATAGGCTTCCTGGCTTTGATGCTAGGAATGCTATAATGACAGTGATGGTTTTGGCCAATATAGAAGAGATCGCAACAGAGAAGGTGATGCCAAATGTTGTTTGTCGGAGGAGACAGGTCGCCCTATTGGGCTTTCCAATGAAGAGAAGTGAGCAGAGGAAACAGAGAAAGAGGGAGACAAGTAGAAGGTAGGTGAGGTTGCGATTGTTGGCTTTGACAATGGGTGTGTCCCGTTGCTTAATGAAGATTGTAAACACCAAAGCTGTAAGTAGGGAAAAAAGAAGAGACAGGGACACCAGAGTAATGCCCAGTGGCTCTTCAAAGGAGAGGAAATTCAGTGTCTTTGGAACACACTCATTGTGAGCTTTGTTTGGAAATTGATCCTCTGGACAACGATCACAATTCTCCATGTCTGAAAAGAAGAGTTTTGAACAGAATCAAACTTATTCCAAGTTTCAGAGTCGCTTGTCTGGAACATCTCTGCAATCTGACCCATTCCCTAAAACTTTCTGTAGCTGTTTTATTTCAATCTGCAATCTCTCATCTATCTATCTATCTATCTATCTATCTATCTATCTATCTATCTATCTGATATAGATTAACAGAGATTATCAGTCTTATAGCCTTCTTTCAATGAAATCAGGATGGCTCAAGGATACCATCCCTGAGAGATGCTCCTTTCTTTTTAATGTTTCAGGTAAAGGTAAAGGTTCCCCTCGCACATGTTAGCTAGTCGTTCCCGATTCTAGGGGGTGCTGGTCATCTCTGTTTCAAAGCCAAGGAGCCAGCGCTGTCCGAAGACGTTTCCATGGTCATGTGGCCGGCATGATTAAACACCAAGGGTGCATGGAACGCTGTTACCTTCCCACCAAAGATGGTCCCTATTTTTCTACTTGCATTTTTTACGTGCTTTCAAACTGCTAGGTTGGCAGAAGCTGGGACAAGTAATGGGAGCTCACCCTGTTCCGCACACTAGGGATTCAAACTGCTGAACTGCCGACCTTTCGATCGACAATCTCAGTGTCTTAGCCACTGAGCCACCACATCCACCATGTTAATTAACACCATTTTAATGTTTAGCGGCCATTAAAATAAACATCTTCAGTATCTGATTTCGTTATTCAAGCTAGGACATGGTGGAACACGCTGGCGTGAAATGCATCAATGAAGCAAGAAATAATATTGAAGAGATTATTTTTAACTTGGCTGCAGAAATAAACTTTCAGACAAAGTTCCATTGAGATGCTATGAATCTTACCCATTTGTCTGGAGATCATCTTTTCTGGACACGGAGCGCAAGCATAGCAGCAAAATTTCCGCCCTTCGATCTTGTCCTTTCTTTTTCCAAGAGGACAAGGATCATTACATAATGAGAGAGGTGGTAGCTATCCCCAAATAAAGAAAGTAGTCAGTATTAACCTTTTTAAAAGCAATTTTTTCCTTCTTAGATATTTTGTCAGAGGGCTGAGAAAATATCTACAAGACCTCTCACATCCTGGACATAAACTACTTCAACTTCTCCCTTCAAGATGCCACTATAGAGCATTGCATGCCAAAACAACTCGACGCAAAGACAGTTTTCCCCCCTCATGCCATCATTCTGCTAAACACCTAACTACAAAAGTACTGTCTTATGCATAAGGTTATTTATCCATATAGTAGGTGTGCGCCGGGCAGCTGATCTTCTGGTTTCAGGTGCGCATATGTGCACTGGCCACCTGGTCTTCCGGTTTCTGGCACGCATGTGTGGCCTGTGCACATGCATGCACCGGAAACAGAAAGAGTAGCCACCTGGAGCGCTCTTTCAGTTTCAGGCAGTGGTGAAATCTGAACCGGTTTACTACTAGTTCGCTGGCTGCACATGCGCGCTATGCATCAAATGCGAGGTGCGGGCGTGCATGCACAGCGCACACCAAAAGGAGGCTTGGGAAGGTAAGTAGAACCTAAGTGTGTGATCGGCTGTGGCGCGCGATCGTCAGAGCCTTTTTTAAAACTTTTAAAAGCATTTTTTAACAACCTATTCGGGCGAATAGGTTGTAAAAAAATGTTTTTAAAAAGTTAAAAAAAAGGCTCTGACGATCACAGCTGTGGCGCGCGATTGTCAGAGCCTTTTTTTAAACCTTTAAAAGCAGGAAGTAACGACACCCGGGCGGATGGGCAGAGCCTTGCACCACCATCGCTACCGGTTCTCCGAACCACCTGCCACAATCGCTACCGGATCGCCGGATCAGGTCCGAACTGGGAGCATTTCACCCCTGGTTTCAGGGGCTCCCGCTTGCGTGAAGACCAGCTGGCTGGCGTGCTGGAACCTAGAAGAACAATGGCAACGGCTCGCATGCCTGGCGAGATGGATCTATGTGCCACTTCCAGCATGCGTGCCATAGATTTTGCCATCACAGATCCATATCACTTTGTTGATTGTGACTTCCCACCTTGTTAGATCTTTTCTAAACATATCTTTTCTTTTATGTACACAGAGAGCTTATACACCAGAGACAAATTCCTTGTGTGTCCAACCACCCTTGGCCAATAAAGAATTCTATTCTCAGGAGTGAAGCTTTAGATACCAATACTTCCTTCAGATCTGCAGCCTACATCTGTTATTCTCCAAATTCAGTAGGAGGAAAATGCATCTTTTGGCACAGGTTTGGAAATTATTATTAGAATATTTATTTTTAAACAGTTCAATAATACATCCAGGGGTCGGATTCAGCCGGTTCGGACCAGTTCAGGCAAACTGAATGCTAATTTTATATCTGGTTCGCCGAACCGGTAGTTGCAAGGACTAGCTGGCCCCTTTCCTCCCAGGAGTCTCCACACGGCCCGTTTTAGATGCCAGGTAAGTGTAGCGCCCATCCGGAGGCTGTAGAAGAGTGAAAAACAAGCCTTCCGGAAGTACTGGAAGTCTGGAAATGGGCCTGTTTCTGGCCTCCAGAGCCTGGGGAAGGCCGTTTTCGCCTTCCTGGAGGCTCGAGGAAAGCATCCGAAGCCTGAGGAAGATGAAAACTCTCTCCCCACCATGGTGCAGGAGGCCGAGTAGGCCACACCCACCATGGCCACACCTACCCAGCAAGTGGGTACAGAACCGGTTGCTAAAATTTTTGAATCCCATCCCTGAATACATCTGCTTTTGCACACCTTTGCCATAGATGGAGTGAAATGGATTTGGGGCCTATGGTACGTGAAAAGCGGTGTATATGAAATTGGTCCTTTTAGCTCATGTTAATGATATGGTACCTGAGTGAATTCATGATGCCACTGGATTTTGTCTGGGTGAATGAGGAAGGATTTTCCTGGAGGAGCTTGTGGATCTATTTCTCCAACTGGGATGTTGACATAAGAGTTGTTTGGGAAAGTGACCAGGTTTACAATGTCAAATCCAGCTTGTAATGTTCCATCTTCGTTTAATTTAATTTCATCTCCAGCATTGTTATTGAAGGCAATTCTCTGCAGAAATGGGTGGAGCTTGCAGGAAAAAAAGAGGGTAAGGTTTAAAGAGAAAAAGATACACTTCCTAATGGTTTCAAATAACACCCATTTTTAACAGTTGGAACAGACTGGAACAATTTAATTGTAGTTTAACAGACTGGAACAGTTTAATTGTAATTATTGGACCCTAATCCGTGCTAGATACTAAATCTGCGTGCTAGTTCATTTCCGACTCTAGGGGGCAGTGCTCATCTCCGTTTCAAAGCTGAAGAGCCAGTGCTGTCCGAAGATATCTTCTTGGTCATGTGGCTCGCATGACTCAATAGTGAAGGTGCACGGAGCGCTGTTACCTTCCCACCAAAGTGGTCCCTATTTTTCTGCTTGCATTTTTTACGTGCTTTCGAACTGCTAGGTTGGCAGAAGCTGGGACAAGTAACGGGAGCTCACCCCATTACTCGGTCCTTCTGCTGACTTTCTGCTGACCTTCTGCCAAATGGCTGAACTGCCGACCTTCTGATCGACAAGCTCAGTGTCTTAGTCATTGAGCCACCGCGTCCCCCTCATTAGAATAGACATACCCAATTCCTGCAACCTTAATTCATAGTTTATAGCCTGCAGTCCCCTAATCATCTTTGTTGCTCTTCTCTTTCTTTCTTTCCTCAAGTCCTGACACTGTGCTGTAACCAGGGGTGGGATTCTGCCGGTTCGGATGAACCATAACTCCGACGATCAGCTGTGCCCGACCGCTTGTCCCTGCACTATACCGACCAATATTTCCTTTGTTTGAAGCCCAGCTGATAGGTGCGGTAGAGCGGATTGCCACACCTCAGCTGTTTTACTCACCGGAGCTGCAGTAGAAGTTAATTTTTAGAGCTGTTTTCAAACACACTGCACACATATTTGGCGCGTGTGTGAGCGAAGTATGTATTTGGTGCACGTGCGTTCAGCGAACTGGTTGTTACCCTGGTTGAATCCCACCACTGGCTGTAACTATGAAGAATCTTTAAAAAAAATACATTGAGAAAGAGGAAATCTTACCTGCCAGGCTTCTATTGTCTTTGATCGCACTTGATCTCTGTCCTTCGGTATGTTCTGATGTGTCCTAACTGTGTGAGCAGCATGTAAGGCTTGAGCCAAAGTATAGACGGCATTGTAGATACTGTAACTATGACTAAGCAGGCTGGTTTCAAAGAAGGGTGCAAGAAGGTCATCTAGTCTTTCTTTTCCAGTACATTCATCATCTTCAGAGGCATTTTTATTTGTTACTGAGCAGCCAAAAGCTTGCTTCCAGACATCTCTAATGAAGCCATCTTGATTCGCCCCGGAAGGGGTGACGGCCTGTATATATTGTTGGAAACCTGGAAGCTCCTTTTTGCTAATTGAGAAGGAAATGGCCCCATGGAACATTTGCATATCAAGACTCTTTTGTATGGAATGTAAGGTGAAATCATTTTGGGCCATCGCGATCCACACTTTCCGTGTGGAAACTTCCTGTGAGAAATGAGAAGCTGTCAGAGGAAAAAGTCTGGTCACCACTAGTGCAGAGGCCAGCCACATAAAGACTATATTTTCTCCATGTATGATAATTGCATTTGTGGTTTTCTCTGTGAACACGGCGACGTGCCTCACCGTTCGTTCAAGCATTTCAAAGAGTTCATAGAAATGGAAGTTTCTGTCAACCCTTTCGGTGAATTCGGAGCAGATTTCATTTTGCGAGAGCAGGGGTTCCATAATTTGGATGAAATGTTCCCCATGTTTGTCATCCGCAATGACAAATCCTACCCATTTCCATCCAAAGTACAGGAAGAGCTGAACTAAACCCTCGTACTGGAGAGCTTCATCGGGGGCCATGCGATAAAAAGGCGGGAAACGTGATTCATCAGTCGCTGCCAATTGAAATGAGCCATAGGAAATCTAAAGGAAAGAAAGGAGGAATGAGAGAAAGAGAGAATGGCAGCGAAAGATACATTCCTTTTTTTATTGATTGAAACCACTTTATTTAAAAAAAATATGGATGCTTAATACTTTTATTATGTTTAAAGATCTCCCAAAAAGGGAGATATCCTTTTTGAATCTTATATGTCTTCTCTCTCTCTCTCTCTCTTATTTATATCTCTCTCTCTCTCTTATTTATCTCTCCCCCCCTCTCTCTCATCTCTCTCTCTCTCTCTCTCTCTCTCTCTCTCTCTCTTTCTCTCTCTCTCTCTCTCTCTATCTGTGGTGGGTTGCCCCCGGTTCGCACTGGTTCACCCACCGACCCCAACAGCATCAAAGCGCTTCTGCGCGAGCGAAGTGAGCATGCACGTGTGGCCCCGCTGCAAACTGGTAGTAAAGGTAAGTAGAACCCACCCCTGATCTATATCTATATCTATATATCTATATATCTATATATCTATATATCTATATATCTATGTCTATGTCTATGTCTATGTCTATGTCTATGTCTATGTCTATATCTATGTCTATGTCTATGTCGATATTTATTTATTTATTTATTTATTTATTTATTTATTTATTTATTTATTTAAACTTATATACCGCCCTTCTCCCCAGGGGGACTTAGGGCGGTGGACAGCCAGAAATTAAAACACATATAGTACAAAAGTTAAGAGAAAACTGAGGCATTACCAATTTAAAATCCCAAATCTACAAAATCAAAAAATTCCCAATTTAAAACCCAAAAACCAATAAAATTAAAATATTAAAAATCCCCATTAAAACCATTTAAGCTAAGATATATAGTTATATATAGATAGATATACCCTGAAAATAAGACCCTGTCTTATATTTTTTTGAACTCTGAAATAAGTACTTGGCCTTATTTCCATGAGTTCAAAAACCCAATTGGCAGGGGTGAAATGCTCCTGGTTTGGACCGGATCGCCTGCTCTGGTAGCGATGGAGGCGGGTGGTTCGGAGAACCGGAAGCAAAAATCTCTGCCCCCCCCATTGCCCAGCTGATCTGTGCAATCATCAGAGGCTTTTTTTTAATTTTTAAAAGCATTTTTTCTACAGCCTCTTTGGCTGAAAAAATGCTTTTAAAAGTAAAAAAAAAAAGCCTCTGATGATCGCGCGGCTCAACTGGGATCATCAGAGGCTTTTAAAAGCATTTTTTCTACAACCTCTTTAGCCAAAGAGGTTATAGAAAAAATGTTTTCAAAAGGAAAAAAAAGCCTCTGCCGATCAGGCAAGTCAGCTGGGATCGTCAGAGGCTTTAAAAAAAAAGCCTCTGCCAATCAGGCAAGTCAGCTGGGATCATCAGATGCTTTAAAAAAAAATAAGAAAGCCTCTGCCGATCAGGCAAGTCAGCTGGGATCGTCAGAGGTTTTAAAAGCGTTTTTTTTACAACCTCTTCACCCTCAGTATGGAAGGGATTGCCACTCTCGAATTGGCCTTTTTAATCACACCAGATGCTGTTTTAGGACCTCTTTCCAGAGCACAATACCATAGTCTTTTGAGACTGAAGGTTGCCAATGCATGCTTAAAATGTATGAACTGAAATATCAGTGAGACAGTTAATGACAGGTAGCATAAGCCTTCAGATTCAAACAACTATGCCCTCAGATTCTGTATGTCTTGATTATTCTTATGGAAAGCAGCGATATACTGAAGAGAAACATGGATTAATTAAGGTCCACTCTTTGCCCTAATTTCTTTACTTCGCTTCACTCTTAATTTCTTTACTGATAAATCATCAAATTGCCTCTTGAAGGGGAAATCAAAAGCAGACAATCTGTGCGATTGTCCTAATTTTGAGATCTTTAGTTATGGCTCCAACCTGTGGGATCTTGAAAAGCTGCAAAATTTCTGCCATGCGTATGGAAGTTTCGGGGCTCATCCCTCCGATGATTCCCACAATTTTCTTTTCAGTCCCGCAAATATAGTTAGGGACAATTTTATGCAACTTAAAAAGCAGGTCCAGAGTGGTACGATAGGTCATTAGTGCATCGGAGTAGCTGTCATAGATGTGGAATCCTAGAGTGATGTTGGGCAAGATGTCGGGATCCTTGTTGATCTCTTTCACGGCAAACACTAAAGCCAAGACGTGTTGATAGAACTTGGTTATCACACTGCAAATAAAGTGACTTGCTTCAAAAGAGAATTGTGCTATGCATTATGCCACTAAGGAAAAGATATCCAGTGGAGAAAAAAAACCCCACAGGAAATGTGTTTTGATTTTGCTTTCCTAGACTGCCCTTGTATTGTGTATATTAGAGATCTAGCTTCCAACAATTTGTCTCTTCAGAATCAAGATTGATATCTTTATATGAAGTATTTAATTGTGTACCCCTTAACAGATATTTCAACTGCAATACCAAAAGTACACAAAAGGAAAAGGCTTCAGCGTGAATATAAAGTCATGAGTTCCCTTTGGAATAATTGGAGAAACCATGACAGATTTTATAGAAGGATGGCATGATAACATTCCTGAAATATCTGAATAGCTGCCATGTAGAAGAGAATTCTTACAAAAGAATTCTCATTTTTCCTACCCTTAGAAAGGAGCGTTTCTTGTCATATTATACTTTCCATGCATGTTTTAGTCCTTAATAAACCTATTGTTCAATCCACAATTACAAAAATGTTCGCCTCATAACGATAAGTCGCTCCTGCACAAACAGATCAGGAGCATTTCGTTTTGCCCTTTGAAATGAAACAAAATTATTGATGAAGTTAATCACTAATTGTTCAGAAGATAAGCCCCAAACTCTGAAGTTACTCAGTTGGAAGAAATGGAATGGGATGATTTTTTCAATTAGATGTCTTTTTAATTTACTATAGAAATAATCTAAGATGAGTAGAACAAATTTGTGAGGAAATATTACAGAAGATCTTATTGTTAAAGAAGGTGAAGCTGAAGAACATAGCCATATGTTATAAATTTATTTTTTCCTTCTATACTCCAATTCCTTCTTAATTCTTCCTTAAAGGAAGATTGTGAGTAGCCCAAATTTCTTTTTTTTTTTAATTTTAATTTTTTTTTAAAAAAAAAACCAGTGCATTGTTAGGGTATATCATTTACAAATATATATTACAAATGAGCCGCGGTGACGCAGTAGTTAGAGTGCAGTACTGCAGGCTACTTCTGCTGATCACCGGCTGCCAGCAGTTTGGCAGATCGAATCTCACCAGGCTCAAGGTTGACTCAGCCTTCCATCCTTCCAAAGTGGCTAAAATGAGGACCCCGATTGTTGGAGGGGGGCGGGCAATATGCTGATTCTGTAAACCACTTAGAGAGGGCTGTATAGCACTATGAAGCGGTATATAAGTCTAAGTCTAAGTGCTAAATAAAAAAGACCAAAAAAAAAAAAAAAAAAGAGAAGAGTGGTATTAAACATTAACATACAATTTAATAACAATAATAATGATATAATAATAATATAACCAAAAAGCTTTTAGCTTAGTTTTTTTTAAATTAACATATTGTAATTATTTACCTTTTTCTTATTTTCTTATTTTCAGTACTAACATTTATGATCTTACTTTTCTCTAATTCCTATCTCTTGTTTCTATCCATTCATAGAATTTATTCCAAATCATATAATATTCTGTATCTTCTTGATCTTTAATTTTAAAGGTTAATCTAACCATTTTGGCACAATCAATTTTTTTCCCCCAATTACAGCCTCCTCTGGTGGGGTATTCATATTTTCCCAATATTTAGCATATATGATCCTTGCTGCTGTCAATATGTGTAAAATTAAATATGCGGTCCCTTGAAATGTACCTAGAAGACATGTTTCTGGTTTCAACTCAATATTCTGTTTGATTATCATTCCCAGCCAGTTTTGTATTTTCTCCCAATATTCTCTTGCTTTGCTACACATCCACCACATGTGGAAGTAGGTACCTGGTTCTGACTGCATCTCCAACACTTAGCCCACATTTCTACTCTTCTTGAGAACTTTTCTGTTTCAGTTTTGAATTGCTCTTTCCAAGACTCTAAGGTGCCCCATAATCTTTTTGAAGTAGGTCAGATGGACCTCCAACTATTATAAAGGATATGTGCATAAAACCTTATATCTTCAAACCCTTCAACCCAGTATGTTGAAGGAACTCTCTATTTTACATGGATGGAAAGAACAGAGATGGATTAGATTAAAATCAGGTAAAGGAGTGATTTCTTACAATGGGAGGTCAACAGATTCCTCAAAAGGATGTCGCTTGAAACCAATTTCGGGAAACAAGTAATGGATGTGGGACATCAATCCACCAATGAGAAGTTCTCCATCCTGGTACCATTCCTGTGGAATTTTAAGGGCTTGCTCGCCAGTGCACTTAAGAGGTTGTACCTTCATGGCCAATTCTGGAAGCAGTAATACGACAATAATCCCCAACATTCCTGCTCATTTGATTTATCCTGTACTGCTGTTGGCAGAAGCCTTGATTCAAACAAGATGCTATAGACAGTGAAACAACTGCTTGATATCTGGCTTAAGAATATCTCAAAAATTGATCTGATCCCTTGTCTTAAGCCTCACCTATGTCTGAATGGCTTGATGCTCAAAATTGTGAAAGAACAGAGTTCCTCTCAACTCTAATACTGTACCTAATTTTTCACTCTTTCTTAAAGGACCAGCAGAAGACCTTGGCCACCATAATATTTTCTCTTGGTTAGCCCAGCCCTGAATTTCATTTGCCTTACACAAATTCTTCCAATACAGTTGTCCTGTTGAATCAGTGAGCTAGCATATTCGTGTGAAGTCCTATATCTCACATATATGAAACAATGGAGTTAGTCTAATTTATTGAAATCAAAGAGAATCAATAAATTGAAATCAAAGAGAATTCAGCTGCTGAATTGACTTGGCACTGGCTGATCAACAGTTTAAAAATATTAGCACAAAAGCCACAATGGCTATATATGTGTGTGTGTGTGTATGCTATGAACAGCAAATAGATGTAAAATCCTAAGAACCCAATTGATGGCATCAGTTTTCTTATTGACCTTGTAATGGTTGGGGGGGGCACCTCTTGAGGAATGGCCGTCAGCAGGGAACAATATATTGGAGATATATATATATCTGGTCTGGGATTTGCCTGATAATTCCTTCAGAAGCATCTTGAGAGCCACTGGAGGATTGACCTGGTGGTTTAATCATAGTGTTTGTGACAAGAGATAGAAATACGGCAACTTTGCTCATTGAAATGCAGAAGCAAACATATTTGTGAGATGCCACAAGGAAGAGTTTTCCATGTATTCTGGTGGGGAGATTTGAGGAACTGATCTTGAGGTCTATAATTGCACAGAGGGGCCTGCGGAGTCAAAGAAGAAGAGCTCTAGTTGTTCTGCCAGATTCAGCTCCGGATTCCCGAGGATATTGATACACACCAACAGTCCTTATCAAATTTATTAAGTAGCAAGAATAAACCAAAGTGTGGCTAAGGTTGGCAACCAGCCCAGAAAACAAGATATGATAAGACTTTTCCAAAAATGCTCTGATGATAATTACAAGTTGTTTCCAGCAAGAAACTTACTAAAGGCGTGTGACTTAAATAGGCTAAGGGAGTGGCCAATTATCCTCAAGCCTTACTCTCAAGAAGAGTGCCTTCTCCTGAGTAGCCACTCTTGCCTTTTGGAAGCCCTGCATGCTCGAGCATTGAAAAGAGGCTCCTCCACTTCGCTCTCTCCACTTGAAGGAGCCTCTGGAGGTTCTGAAGGCCCTGGCTGAGTCTCTGCCTCTGGCACCACATCCTCTTCAGCCTCCTTGCTGTCCGACGCGAGCGCCGGCTGCGCAGGCTGCTGGTATGACACCACACCAGCCTCCTCCTCATCAGGATCAACCACTATCCGCGCAGGCCACTGGCGGGCCACAACACTAGTTCACATACAGAAGCAGTCAGAATTAGTCTTACCTGCACCTTTAGTAAGCCAACAGATTTTGGAGTTGTTTTAAATATATATTTAAGTATCTATTTGCATTCTTTGGTTAGCAGATGCCATGAGATAGAAAAAGAATAGAATAGAATAGAATAGAAAGAATAGAATAGAATAGAATAGAATAGAATAGAATAGAATAGAATAGAATAGAATAGAATAGAATAGAACAGAACAGAACAGAACAGAATTTTTATTGGCTAAGTGTGATTGGACACACAAGGAATTTGTCTTGGTGCATATGCTCTCAGTGTACATAAAAGAAAAGATACCTTTAGAAAAGATGTAACAAGGTGGGAAGTCATAATTGTCAACTTGCAAAGCATCCTTGGCCTGCTCTCGAGTTGTCATAGGTTGGGGGGATGGGAAACTGGCAAAATGGCACAGCAGCCAAAGACAGATGCACATTCCACACTTATCTCTCTCAAGGCTGTATCCCAGGGTTACCTACAGCAGCCGGAGGGGCGTGACCTCTACAACCACGAAATTGCTCCATTGGCGAATGTGATTGATGACACAACCTGAGGGGAGGGAGGAAACAGGGTCATAATTGGAGCATAAATTACGTAGGGTCAGAGCTGGCTTCACTTGGGAACATGCTGACAGGAAGCTCCTAATAAATAACTGGATTTCTTTTGAAGCTTGGCTCAAGACTCATGATTTAATTAGGGCATCTGTCGGAACCCTGACAATAATATTGCTAAACTGGGCAGTCCACTTTTTAAGAGGGGACGTCTCATCCATGTATGATAGGATCCAAAGTTCTTGACAAGAGAGGATGTAATTAGATGGAAAGGGAGTCTAGACGCATCTCCCCCAAACACCTGAGAAGTCAAATGGCTTCTTTCAGAAGAGAATGGTATGGAAAAGGCAGAAACATTTGCAACTCCTCAGAAGGCTTATGGTACTGGAAGAGCAATCTTCCAGTTCTTTTGTCAGGATCCAACTTGATAATTAGGAATGGAAATATAAAGGCGTGGTCCAACCTATTCTGGTATATTTAGATGGTTCCAGGAATATACTGATACTGCAAAACACTTCCAAAATGTCACATCACAGAAAATGTTGCAAGCAGACCAGCAGATATAGAAATGATCTATGTGTTAAAATATCAGGAAGTAATTGAAATATTAGGAAAAGAGAAAAATAACTATTGAAATGGACATAAGAAGTGGAAAGTTAATTAAGTTGAAAGATTTTAAGGTAAACATGAAACAAGTTGAAATATAATGTTAAGAATTTCAAAATATGATGGGAATTTTGAGGAATATATGCAATAAAGGGAGAGAAAAACAGGGATGCCTGGACACCATAGGGAAAAAAGCACTGAATTGAAAATGAATACAGCAATAGAGAGAGATAGAAGAAGGAGTAGGGAGATTGAAGGAAGGGAGAAGGAGAGAGAGGAACAGAAGAAAGGGAAGAGGAGAGGAAGAGAGGAAAGGGGAATAAGAGTAGGAGGGAAGGTTAGATGGGGGGAAGAAAGGAGGAGGGGAGAAAGGAAGGGGAAGTAGAGAAGGAGTAGGAGAGGAGGGAAGAAGAAGGTAGGAAGGACAAAAGGAGGGAGGGAGAGGAAGAGAAAGAGAAGAAAGATTGCTGTAAAACAAAAAAGATGAAATGGAAGAAAGGCATCTCCGAACACGTTTAAATATATTAAGATAAAGATTGAATTAATAAAAAATTAAATTAAGGAGAATGTGTAGGATTAAGAATAGAAAAAAATAGAATTTGAGGGTGAAAGAAGATACTGTTTAGAAAAATAAGAGTAGAAAAAATAAGATTTGATTAACAAATATGGAAAAAGAACACTTTGGCAGAAACTGTAACTAAGTAAAATATATTTGGATATGATGAATTATATATGATATGATATGGTCAGGACTCTGTTTCAAAAAAAAATATGTGGGTGTGTTTTTTTGGGGGGGAAAGAAACCAATAAAACTTGTCAAAAAAAAAAAAGTCACATCACTTGCAGTATGATGGATTAAAACATCATTAAAACTGTCCTGTCTAGAAAGTAGGGGTGGGTCGCTACTGGTGAATCGATAGCGGTGGCATTGGGAGGCTCCACCCACCCACCCAGACATCATCAAAAATTCTCTGCGCATGCACAGAACCGTCTGCGCATGCGCCGAAGCACTGCATGCTCATATTGTGGCTCCGTTGCCTGACCCTGGGCTATCGACAGATGCAGACTCTGAGAGTGAGGGAGAGGCTGTGGCTGGTGGGGTGGGTGGGTGGGTGGGTGTGGCCATGGTGGGTGTGGCCAGCTCGACGTCACTCATGTCAGGGGCACCTGTGATGGCCAAGTGCTAAGGCAGGGTTTTCCTGAGACCCTACCTCCCTCTCATTAAAATCTCCTTGCTTCCTTGCCTCCTTCCTTCCTTCCTTCCTTCCTTCCTTCCTTCCTTCCTTCCTTCCGCCTGCCTTGTCGGACTGCATTTGACCTTGTATTGCTGAAATGCCTGATCAGATGCTTGCAGATCTTTGTTTGTGTGAGAGTCTGATGGCAGCTAGAGGGTTGCTGGAGACTTTGTCGTGTGGCTTATTAACTGGGGTCTGTGGGGTGCGTGGTGGGTGGGACAGAACAGCTCGAGCACATGCACCCGCACCTCCAATAGCAAACCGGTGCTGCGGGATTTGCCACTCCTGCTAGAAAGCTAACATGAAGCTAGAATGTCCGGCTCAAAGTAGGCAACTTGCATATTCCTTCTGTAATGCACAGTTTAATCCGATGTTTTCACTAATACCACCTTATGTCATTTTCAACTCTCAAGAGATTTGATCTGCATGTCAAACTTGATTTCACTGAGCATCAGGGTTGTTTTTGACCTTGGACCTGGCCTGGGTGGCTGTGGCCATGTCAGCTCGACTCTCATGTCATCACCTGATCCTGTCTTCCTGAGACCCTCCTCCTCCATTAAAATTCCTTGCTTCCTTGCCTCCTTCCTTCTTCCTTCCTTCCCTTCCTTCCTTCCTTCCTTCCTTCCTTCCTTCCTTCCTTCCTTCCTCCTTCCTTCCTTCCTTCCTTCCTTCCTTCCCTCCCTCCGTCCTTCCGTCCCTCCCTTCTTCCTTCCTTCTATCAGCACTTCAAGCTGCATTTACTCTAGTGCTGACATAAGAAGGAGAAGCGGAGGCGTCTGGAAAGGGACGTTTGACTTTTCACCTACTTATTTTCCCTGGAGATAATATCCCCTAGGAGATGGGATGGGAGGGGGGAAATTTGTTTGAGCTGGAGCAGTAGATTGGGGTAGAGTGACTTGGAAGATGGCCAATGAGTGCAGGGGAGTGGGGAACGGAAAGGGAGGGTTTTGGGTCTGGGGGTCAGTGTTGGCTATGATGGAGTCGGAATTAGAATGTTGTGCTTAATAAATGGGAGTTTTTTTCATCAAAGACTTTGTTTGAAATGCAATTTATTTG